AATATTTTATAACAATGATCACATTCCTTTTGGATAATTTAAATATGAAAATAAAATATTTAATAGGCAAATCATATTTTAAAATCAAAATTAACATTTATAAATTTCAAATGGTCATATTTATGGAAATAATGTATATGCTCGAATATTATGTTGAACTGAAATATTGCATATTACATTTTATATTGAATAGAAGATTACATCCATACTTCATATATAAAGTACATCTTAGATATGAGATAAAAATTAAAAGAAATTTGATTGATTAAAGATTTACAAGAATCCAAAGAAGAAGATCTGAAGATTATATTGAAGATTAATGAGAAAATATTGAAAAGGAAAGAAGGAGATAATCAAGATGGAAGAAACACACAACGTGAGATATTATATTTGAAATTTCCTTTGTAAGAAAAGAAAAATATGAAAGAAGATACTAAAGAAGATTTAGAAGAGAAAGAATCTCACCTATTATAACCCCAAAATGCATATAAATAGAGTAATAAGGTTATGAAGAAATATACAAGATGCACAACAACACAAAAAGAAATTCATAGAAAAATATATACAAAAAATAAGAGAAAAAATAGTAGTACATGAAGATACTCACGAGAAAGGAATGATAAAAAAGATAAGAGCATATCATGTTCATTACAATAGTTTGATCTAACAAAGGGCTATGAGAAAAGCCATTGTAATATTCTTTACATTGTGAAGTTTACCCTTGCGAGTTTATTTGTACTCTCTTTTAATGAGATTATTTTCTTAATATTCCATTGAGAGTTCTTGATCTCATGGAGAGATTAAAAAGGTTATTTGGAGAGATTAAACTAACCTAGAAAGGTTAATAATCCTGATATTTAGAGAGGTTAGTGCTCGTGTTATCTAGAGATGTGGATACTTGTTAGAGCGTTTTGTGTACTTTTTGTAATCAAATTGGTATATTTGATTAGTGAAACTTCTTAAGCTTGATGCTTAAGAAACTTGACTTGACGTAACTCTTGCGTTAAAGTTAAACTATTATAAATTGTTGTCTGTTATCTATCTTTAACATTATTATTTATTTGTTCTATATTTGCATAAAAATGTATAAATTGTCTATAAACTCTATTTAATCTCCTTCTATAGTCATCTTGCACCAACACGTATGACTCGTACTGAGGCAAATCATTTAGTCTTTTACTGTCACACTAATGTTGGGTGTATCTATTTGACATTGTTCTTGTAGGTACTGACCACCATGACATCTCATAGATGAAATGACACTTTTGTCACCGTTTTCATACTAAAGATTTTGGTAAACTTAGATATTTTTTGGGGATTAAGGTAGCACAATCCAATAATGAAATTTCTCTTTCTTAAAGGAAGTATGCATTGAATATTTTAGAGGAAATTGAGTTAATGAATTCAAAGTCTATTGACATACCCATAAGTCCTAATGCTAAACTCTTATCTAACTAGGGTGAGCCACTCTCAGATTTTGAAAAGTATAGAAGATTAGTTGAAAAGTTGAAGTATACTTGCCCTAACATTTCTTGTACAATCAATGTGGTGAGTCAATTTCTTAATTCTCCATGTACAAATAATCAGAATGCACTCATTCATTTATTAAAGTACATTAAAGAATCTCCTAAAAAAGATTTGCTATATGATCACAATAATCATACTAAAGTTGTCTGTTATTTAGATGTTGATTGGACAATATCTCCTTTTGATAGAATATCCACTTCCAAATCTTGTGTTTCTATTGGTGGTTACTTGATATCTTAGAAGAGTAAAATATAAAATGTTGTGGCAAGATCTAGTGCATAAGCATAATATAAAATTATGTTCTCAATGACTTATGAACTTATTTGACTAAAACAATTACTTAAAGAATTGCAATTTGGTGTTGTCACTCAAACTAAACATATAGTGATAATTAGACTCCTACTCATATTAGATTTAATCTCATCTTTCTTGAAATGACTAAACACATTAAAATTAATTGTCATTTTATTCAAAACAAGATGATATTTAGAGACTATCAAAACTAAGTTTTGTTAACTCAAAATAATCAATAAACAATAAACAATAAGCTTTTACAAGAACCTATAATAGAATATACTTGTAATAATGTTAAATGTAACTAACTTAAGTCCGCCTTTTGTTATTGTCCTATTTATAAATGCACAATCCCACATGCTCAATACACGTTAGGATTCATTGTATACTTCTTTCTTTTTTATTTTAACAACACTGAAGAAAGAGACCAATTAAAAACACTCAAGCAAAATTGAAAAAAGAAAGATGTTACAGAAAAAGACACAGTAAAAATAGCATAAGAATAATTCAATAACTCTACATAACCTTTTAAAAAAATTTCTCAACAACAACCTTGAAAGCACTCTTTGACAACTGAAAACAAGTAAAAAAGACATCAAATCAACATTGTAATATTGTTTTTGAAAGTATACTCGAAAAGAGTGAATAATTTATTTATTTATTTATTAAACTATGAAGGTGCTAATTAAAAATTGTTTCACACAAACTGATTATCTTAAGTTAGTAATAAATTATACTTAGTAAAATTTGAAATCAACTAAAATGCTCTATGATTAAATTGGTAATTGCATATGTTAATAAATTATTTTGGCTTTTCATTTATTTGAAAAAATAACTTAAAACAAAGTTAATTGATTGTTATAGAAGCTAATAACTTATTTTTTAGACACATTTTTCTTTTCTATTTTTTAGACAAACAATTTATTTTCCAGTGAATATCTACATATACACATTTTTTTGCCATCACTATTTGTATCCCTCTACTAGCATTAAAAATAGGTGGATTGAAAGGAAAAGAAGGTGATAATTTTGGCCCCTCACTCATGACTAGAAAATAGAGGTAGAAATATAATTAAAAATTTACCTTCTAAATATGCATATAAAATAACATTTATGAATGTGATTTATTTTGTCTTTATATACATTTGTTTTTTTCTATATATGAGTGTTTATTGCCAAACATAACAAATTATGGTTGCATGCTTAATGTTTTATGATAGAACACATAATTGATCAGGACCTTATACATAATCAATTATGTGTCTTAACATAACAAATTATGCACATAACTTTAATTTATTATGCCGAGCTAATATTTATCAATTTTTTATAAAAAAGTCATGTACCTAAATTCACAATTCTATAATTCAAAATTATATATATTCAATTTTATTGAGTAAAATAAAATTTGAAAATTAAGTTGTGATATTACTTTTATAAAAACTTTATAACCTTTTTCTTCAACTTATTATATATATATATATATATATGGGTTTGCTAACGCGCGTACGTCTGTTTTTCAGTTGGTACATTTTAGCAATGTGTACCGGGTTTTAGTAGACAAAAATACCCTTATATATCATGAATTCTAAGGGTATTTTAATAATTTTCATTCTCAAAACTAAAAAAAATAAAAAATAAACCCCCAAACCCTTACTCACCTCTCGCATTCCTCTCAACCCTTTCTCTTTCATCTCCCTCACTGCAATCTTTTCTCTGTCATCCCTACTCCCAAACCCTTACTCACCTCTCTCATTCCTCTCAACCCTTTCTCTTTCATCTTTCTCACTCCAATCTTTTCTCTGTCATCCCTACTGTAGCCCCAATTGAAAAAAATCATCAGAAACACTTGCTGTTAAACAATCTTAACAAAAAATGATTTTATAATGAGTTTTCATTTTATAATTTTTGTCTTATCTAATTTTATCCAATTTTCACCAGCATAAAGGAATTGATAATTGACCTGAAAAAAATTAGAAATACTCGCTGTTAAACAATTTCTTACAAAAAATGATTTTATATTGAGTTTTCATTTTATAATTTTTGTCTTATCTAATTTTTACAAGCATAATGACATCAAAGGAATTGGTAATTGGCCTTGAAAAAATCAGAAACATTTGTTGTTAAACAATTTGCCTTTGTAAAGAGTTCATTGACATATTCACCTTCAGGCAAAGGTTCATTCAAGATCTCTTCAATTTCACCATCTTCAGTAACCTCTATAATTTCATCATCTACATAGGTTGAATCATCATCTCTAAAAAATTATATACGACAAAAATTATAAGGGTTAAATATGTTTTTAGTCCCTAAACTATTGCCCGTTTCTGGTTTTCGTCCCTCTTTCAAAGTAAGGTACAATTTGGTTCTCATTCTTTTCGAAACGTTCGTTTTAGTCCTCGAAATTTTGGTTTTAGTCCTCATTTTGTTGCTAAATGAGGACCAAATTTTTAAACGGTGTTAGTTTTCGAGGACTAAAACGAACGTTTTCGAAAAGAATGAGGACCAAATTGTACCTTACTTTGAAAGAGGGACGAAAATCAGAAACGACCAACAGTTTAGGGACTAAAAACATATTTAACCCAAAATTATAAAATGAAAACTCATTATAAAATCATTTTTTGTAAGAAATTGTTTAACAAAGAGAAAGAGTTGAGAGGAATGATAGAGTGTGAGTAAGGGTTTGAGGTTTTTTTTTTAGTTTTGAGAATGAAAATTATTAAAATACTCTTAACCTTAAAACTTAGAATCCATGGTATATAAGGGTATTTTTGTCCACTAAAACCCGGTACACATTGCTAAAATGTAGAAAAACAGGCGTACGCGCGTTAGCAAACCCCTATATATATATATAATATAATTATTTAAAAATAAATTTAACAAAATAAATTTAAGAATACTGTAATAAATAATTAAATTAAATATTTAATTTTTTTCACTGCGTATCAATCACATAATCTATTATCCTTCCACTCATTTTACTTATTTTCTTATATTCATTAATTTCACTCTTTTAATTCTCTTTTTCTTCCCTTTCCAGTCCTGCCTGTAAATAGCTATTGTACATGTCAATGCTCTTACAGAAGATTAATAATAATTATGTATTTAAAGAAAATAGAAGTAAAGATTTTTTATTTATTTCATTTTACATCCAGCAATTAATGATGATGGATGAATTTACAAAGTGAGGCCGGACGAAGCGAGGTACAATGTTAGCACAGAAGAAAGTGGAAAAGCTAGTCGAGTTGGAGAATCCGAGTCACGTGTAGGTGATCCACGTGGCACCGCGTTTTCTGTCCCTTTTTACTTGGGCGTTTACCAGCTCTTATCGTACGCTACCTTTCTTTCTGCCCCTTTCACATAACTACTCATTTTATTTTGTGCACCTCTGGAAAAGGTGAACACTCTAAGCGTTGCGTTTCCCCGGTCCGACGAGGGTTTAGATGGATTTGGCGAGCCATGAATCACCTACCTCGACTATTCGGCAATAGAAAGAAGCCTCCAAACATGGACCCCAAGAAGAGCAAGACGCGAGGCAAGAAGCATCAGCCCAAGCTCGAGCGCCGCAACGCCGCCAAGCACTTCGAATACGACGCCGGATCGTCGTCTTCTTTGCGAGGTGACTCCGCATCCGTCTCCACGTCGTCTTCCTCGTCGTCTTCGTTATTTACGCGTTCAATGGACTTCTACGGCCACCGGAGCTTCCGAATCGATGGCGTGGAGGGCGAGTTCGACCGGATTTGTCAAAGCCTCGGCCTCTCCGGTCCGGAGGACTTCTCCATTCCGACCGCCGCCTGGGAGGCCATGAAGCTCCGCTCCTCCTCCGACATCCCGTTGCTCCGGAACCACGACGGGAAGGCGTTGGACGAGGAGGCGAAGGAGAAGGAGGAAATTGAAGCGGTTGAGAGCGAGTATGAGGCTAGGGTTTTGGATGAGTGTGTTGTTCCTGCTGAGAGCAGTGGTTGCTGCACCGCTGGCGGCGGAGGAATTAAGGGTTTTCGGCCTCCGATGCTGAAGCCGCCGCCAGGGATTAGGGTTTCGGTGGTGGACGAGACGTGTTCGACATGGGATTTGTTGCGGGATTTTGCGCCGAAAGGGGAGGGAGGGAAGGAGACTTACGTGGAGTTGAGTGCTTCTGATGAAGATGAGGACGGAGAAGTAAAGGAAGAGGAGGATGAGGAAGAAGGGGAAGTTGGTGGAGTGAGGGTGGAGAGAGAAGAGGAGGAAAACGCGGCGAGGATTGCGGATATTGTGGATGAGTTTTCTGGGTTTTCTACTTCGAACGAAGATGATTCTTCTAGCACTACCACGGGTCCTAATTCTAGTAATATATCTCCTAATGGGAGAATCAAGCGTGTGATTACCGCAGGTAACTGGCAGAAGGGTGAGCTTTTGGGGCGTGGTTCGTTTGGCTATGTCTATGAAGGGATTTCTGAGTAAGTGCTTTCGAGCCCATCACTTCGCTTATACTCGCTCAAAGTTATTGTTAGAAACGAAAGATAAGCCTTATTGTTTATTTCATTGTTTACTGTGGTGTTGGAGTTAGAGAATAGGGATCCAGATGGTGTGGTGGTAGTAAGTAACATTACAATGTTGTGTTAAGAGAAAGAGAAACAATTATAGTAGGGCCAGTGAGAACAGTTTCAGGGATTCGGTTCATCTATTTTATTCCTCTCTTTCTACTCAAATCTTTGTAGGATACTATGTTATGGAATGTTAGTGTTAGAATTAGGAGATTGGCAGGTTAGTTGTAGAAGGTTTGGATATGAGAATATGTTGGAAAAGCATATGACAGTATGTGAATGTCAATTTTGTTGGAGAGTGCTTACCAGTACGCTATAGCTGATAGTCAGGATAACTCTTTCTACTTAATATCAGCCCAAACATCACGGTCCTATTGTGACTTGGCTCACCTAATTTCACCTTGAACAATTGATGCCACTCCTAACAAATTTTTATTTGTGTAATTGAGGAGGATCAGTTATTGCTTCCAGTTTTTGTTGTCAACATAAATAGTAACTATTTGTTATGATGGGCAGATTAGGAAATGGGATGAACCTTGAATTCTTTTGGCCAATATTTATCATTGTTTTCAGTTTGTGGACTGAAGCATAGCCGTGGTTGTTGGGAAAATGTCTTGCTCCTTAAATAATATGATCAATCATTTCCTTTCTTTTCAAAACAGTAATTTTTTGACAGTGAAGAAGTGATCGGATCTATTGAGATGAAAGGAAAGATGATTTCTTGTGCTTTCCTTAGTTATTTCTACACATAAATATTCAGGAATTAT